GACTATGTCAGTAGCACACCCTGCCAAATCATGACACCCACACATGTCATGGCACCCAAGTCATGACACCTAGTATGCCTTGGGGGCAGAACTGCCCCAGGTGAGGACCCTTGGATTAAAGGGCTTCCACTGACTGCCCCCAAGACTGTCTCCCATGATTATCCACACACTGAGTTGGGAGGTGGGTGGAGAGCCCAAGGGCTGGAGGGTGCCCTGGCTGACCCAAACGAAGTCAAACTTACTGCCATCAAGTTGATGCCAACTCATAGTGACCTTATAGGACAAGATAGAACTGCCCCTGTGGGTTTCCAAGACTGTAACTCTTTACAGGAGTAGAAAGCCCTGTCTTTCTCCACAGATCACCTGGTGGTTTTGAACTGCTGACCTTGGGGATTGCAGCCCACCTTTTATGCTACCAAGGCTCCCAGCTGTCTGACCCAGTGGGATTTTATTCTGGTGGACCAGGTCAGCAGGGATGCAAACCCAGTTTCTGTCTAAATAATCAATCTAAATAATCCAGCTCTGCTGAAACGAAGGCCGGAGCCTTCTCTGAGGTGGGGTGCCTTGGGCACTGTGGGGGTGTCAAGTAACATCTCTGGTGTCCATCCACTCCACACAGGTAACACACCCTGTCTATGTGACAACCAAGACTATCTCCAGACATGGCCAGTGTCCCCTGGGGGCAGAATTACCCCAGCCCCCGACCTCTGGCCCCTGGCCATTCCCATGCCACCCTCTGTCTCCAGACATTTATGGTCAGTGTGGTCAGATACTCCTCTCACCTAGCATCCCATTGGTCCATGAGGCAGCAGGTGCTGGGCGCCATTCCACTCGGCCCAAGTGACCACCACACCACCAAGGTTCATCCCACACTGTACAGAACTTAAGTGGAAAGCTAATTTGCATTGTAAACTTTCACCAAAAACAAAAATACAACAAAATAAAGGAGACGTTGACGTAGCCTGTCTACTTATCAGGTCCCAGCGTGGGAAACCCTAGCTAGGGTCCCAGTGTGTCGGGATCGACTCGACTCGGCAATGGACTTGGCTTGGGTTGTCTCATTCACACCTCTAATGGTAACCAAACCAAATTCACTGCCATCGAGTGGACTCCCACTCCTGGCAAACCATAGGGCAGGGTAGAACTGCTCCAGGCATAGAAAGCCTCATCTTCCTCCTGCAGAGAGGCTGGTGGTTTCGAACTGCAGACCTTGCAGATTGCAGCCCAACCTGTAGCCACTAAGCCACCAGGGCGCTCCTCACTCTAATGAGACGTGCCAAATAAGAAAGGTCACCATCATGTGACTGGTGGGGGCATGGACTGCCGTGTACTAACCCAGCTCCAGCGTGATGGGGAGCCCGTTCCTGCAGTGCGAGTTCCGCTCGCAACTCAGACGTGACTGTTGGCTCTTGTGTTTCTCTGTGGCTCTAGCACCCAGCCGCCGACAGCCTTCCCCCACCCAGCCGCCGGGGCCAGCTACAGCGCACCGTCCACTTCCGGGATGGCCCCCACTGTGGCCGCAGCCTTTCCCCCGGCCACCCCACCACTCCACCCGGTCTCCCCGGTGGGGTACAGCGGGTACCAGCCCCACACCAGCCAAGACTTTGGCTACAACAGCCGGGCCCAAGAGCCCACGCCCATGGCTAAAGCAGCCTACCAGGTATCTGCCTGTCTTTGCTCTGACACAAGGCTTGGGGGTTCTGGAGAATGGGACCAGCTGCAGTGGAAGAGGGCGGAGGGGTTCCTGGAGAGGCCCCTTCTCCCAGGCCGGTGTCACGGACACCCCAAACTTCACGGCCATCAAGTGGATTCCAGCTCAGAGCGCCCCGCCGAGGGTTTTCAAGACTTCATCTTTCCAGGAGCAGCCGGCCTCCCCCTTGTCCCACAGAGCAGCTGGTAGGTCCGAACCGCTGATCTGGCGGTTAGCAGCCTAACCCACAGCACCACCAGGGGTGGACAGAAATCACTGGCATTAGAATCGCCCCACTAGGGCTTGACTTGTGTCCTCCAAAAACAGTGTGTGTGAACCCTGACCTTTAGGCCTGTGGATAAAGCAGCTCTGGTGGCATAGTGGGTACTTGTTGGGCTGCAGTTCACATGGGCAGCAGTTCAAAACCACCATCTACCTCACGGGAGCAAGAGGGGGCTTTCTGTACCTGTAGAGTTACAGTCTCAGAAACTCAGGGGTAGCTCTCCTCTGCCCTGCAGGGTTGCCGTGAGCACGACTCGAGGGCAGGGAGGGAATGGGCCTGGTTGAGCACTCACCTTATCATTGCTTGGTGGCCTGCAGGTTAATTCCATCCCAGAACCTGGGGCCCCTCAACTCTGCCTTCCTGATCAACTGTCCTCCCCACCCAGGGCACTGCTTATGCGGGGAGAGGCAGACCCTTCCTCAGGAGTGGGCATCCTGGGCACTGTGGGGTATTGAGCAGCATCCCTAGCCTCCACTGACTATGTCAGTAGCACACCCTGCCAAATCATGACACCCACACATGTCATGGCACCCAAGTCATGACACCTAGTATGCCTTGGGGGCAGAACTGC